GCCAACTGACCAATTATTCCATTTCTTCCAGGCTCAGACCCCCATTTATTCCCAAAAAAGTAATATATTACCAAAAAAAACTGGTGTGCTTGCTCACTGGGGCAAACACATCCTCATAATCCCTCCCTTCCACCTGCGTGAATCCCTTAGCGACCAGCCACGCCTTGTAGTGAACGATGTCACCCTTTTCATCTCGCTTCAAGGTACAAACCCACTTGACCAGTAACAGACGCACTCCCTTAGGCGGCGTCTCCAACTCCCACACGGTGTGCGACTGCATAGAAGCCATTTCCTTGTCCATCACCTGCTTCCACATAGGCCAGGCTGGAGAACGTTTAGCTTCCTCATAGGTCCGTGGCTCCACCGGAACTGCCACCATATTCAACCGATCTGGTGGTTTACCTTTGTTGGACCGTTCTGAGTGACGTAGCTGCTGTCCTTAACCACTTTGCTCCTCGAAGCCCGGTTGAGGAGGTACCCAGGGTACGACCTATAGACGATCAACAACTTTACAGACGGTTCGGATCTGCTGCTACAAGGACAGCAAGGACACCCGAAAGCGGAACATCCCGGTTTCTTTTGTAGTATTTTTAAACGCTTTTGTTATTTTTCCGAGAAAAGTTAAAAAGCTGTAGGTTATTCAACATCATTCATTCACATGGGCCAACGGACCTCAAGTTTCGCTGGACGGAATAGCAACCTAGCTAACCGTGTTCTCTATTCAGAGGACTAGCAGGAGTTAGCAAGAGATTAGGAAAGAACATAAACTGAACTTGATGTCCATGTATTTACCTGGCAACTTGTGACAAAAGAGTTATTACCTGGCCCCACCCAGGTAGTAACTTTCCGTATCTGCAGATCAGCTGGATTAGCATTTATGGCGTCATATCTTACTTTAATTTCTAGGTAATTCCATATGGATGACCTAAAGTAAGCAATATCTGATTTGGTTTGCTCGAAAGGTGCTAGTTCAATGTCAGGCCTCAACGGTGGCCACAACGGCAAGAAGAGTACGCTTCCTGCCCATACTTTATACTCATACGATGCCTAATGCCCAAAGCAATTCAGAACTGGTCATATTAGCTTCGAGATCGCATCCTAAAATGTGCATCGCCCATTGTACGGCCTTAATCCCCGCGCTAATCCCAGGCCTTCGGAATGGCCAGGGATTAGCGGGACCTTAATCCGAACTGGAAATACACCCCGTTTCCGGTGCCCGGGATGCGTGAAGAATGCAACTGATTCAGTTAATATGAATTCTAATAATACTGATCCAATTAAAGGCAAGCGACAGCCAAACTGTTGTCGCCGGCCTCATTTTGCAGCCGCCGACAACTCCGTCGCCGCCGAATCCAGATATGTGAGCGATCTACTGGAATTGTATTCAAAACCGTATGACTATATTGATAACTACATTTGTTGCTTACTTAGGAAAAAAACCTCTGCTTGCTGAAAGGCGTCGCTCGTGTGGAGCCCACTGTTCAACGTCGAAGATCGTATCCCGGCTTGTTAACAAACCGGGGCTGTACCTCTAGAGAGGATGTGCCCTTTACAGCTGAAGCCGCAACGATGATGACAGAAATCACGCCAAGACATGTACATCTCCGGTTCGTTTCGGAACGGTTTCAAAGCGATATATGTCGGACCCTTGCGATGTGGCATCTTCATTATCCGTCCATATTGGCTGGCTGCCCTGCTTTGGCTCTCAGCATAAACAAGCACGTTTGAGCGGGCCTTTGGAGCAGGTAGCAAGCGACCGACTGACGGGCGCGTGAGTGGCAGCCATATATCTTCCAGTTATTTATGGCTGAAGGGCAGTACATTACCTGGCAGTAAGCCCGGCTGACCAGCTCCATGTCGTGGTGGCTCCCAAGGTTCAAACATGCAATTTCGACAGCGGAGCATTGGTGTTATTTTACAGCAGATGAATTGAGCTGTCTTCCAAGGAAAACGGTGGGATCCTGGAAAGCCACGGGGCGCCGAACGAGATGAGCTGGTTGTTCGTTATCCGGTGTCGTGCACTTTTGGTACATCGGCGGCACGCATGCTGCGCGTTGGCCAATGCACCTTGCAAATATCCGACCCAATTTGTATTCATAGGCATGTGACTCGTTTATGAAATCTCACCTTCGAAACCTTTGACCAGACTTGAGTTGGAATCGACACGGCTTTCCTATCCGAGCTTAAGGTTACATACAACGTACAAGAAGCTATATTTGGGTTATCTTGTTAATGGGAAAACCTGTTCCGTTCCGTTTGTGCCGGGAGTCTTGGCCAGCTGATGCGCTCCTAAAGGTGAGGATTTTGTTGCTGTAATGAAAAATGTCTTATTGATATGTGCTGTAGGTGCTGGAACGGCCTGAGTTGTTAACGTCAACGTTAGTCGACTCCGCTTGCGATAGAACAGCCGACAACGCGTTAAGATGGCTAATCCCGGTTGAGAACTTCGAATATTGATCCTATGTGATTTACACGAATAGCAGCATACCACGCGATAACTGTTTAGTTGTGTCGTCCTAATTCCTGGCTTCGACCGCTGCTCTGTGGTTGCCCATGGGTTGTACAGCAAGTAGCAGAACTGATCCGCCATAGTTGCCCTGCCGACCCGTTCCCTGGCCCCATCGCGACTTGGGCTTCCCGCCCTCAGGGATGTGACATGGTGGTGCCCGCGTTTCTCGACTGCCTTCTCTGCACATGGAGTTTCGCCGCGTAAGAGCTCGTACAGAGGATAAAGCAGCAGCCTCAGCCACCTGCGGGGCCATTTGCACTGGAACTCTATCGCTTCGGAGGGGCCGCACATGGAACGCTCACCTTCGCCCATGGCAGCCATACAGACAATAGGCTCTGTAGAAAGCCAAAGTGCGGCGCCCTGCCCAGCACTTAGCCACAAACACGCAAATCCGCTTGGGCCCGGAGCCGACCATGCAGGTTGCGCTGCAGCAGTACTGCACGAGGCACAGTCCCTTGTCCCCCAAGGACTTCCGCTCGCCCTTAGCTACGTCCCAGCCGAACCCGCATGCCCTCAGAAGGGGGGCAGCAGCAGCGCAAAGGGGCATGAGTTCTGCCTAGGCTCAGGGCCCGGCCCCGCCGCTCCTGGCGATGGCGACGGCAGCGGATGTGAGGGCTCAGTCGTACATGCCGCGGAACCGCAGTGTACGGCACCGCAGACGGCAGACCCTGCGTCTGCAATGCAATGCTCCAGGGACGATCCGGCAGGGGGCCGAGCCCGTACCGCCTGTGACGCTGAAGGCAACGACACGCCGCTGGGGTCGGACGTAGCAGGGCCGCCACCCGCGGCGGCAGCTGCTGCCCCGGCGGCTAGCCCTTTTCCTGCCATGCCGCCGGGAAGGTTCGCTGACGCCAGATCGGCGCTGAGCGCGCTTGCGGCTCAGCAGCTTCAGCTCCGACAGCTACAGCACTTGATACACCCTCTGGAGCAGCAACAACTAGAGCAAGTTGCGGAAGCAACTCCGCTTCATCACCGTCATCATCATCATCATCATCATCATCAGCAGCAGCAGGAGATCGACCACCAGCGGCAGCAGCAGGAGAAAGACCAGCAGCAGCAACAGACTCCACGGATTCTTGAAGATGTTCGCTGCAACGTTGCTGACCGGCCCTCTCAGGCCGCTGTTGTGGATGGCGGCACCAATGCCGTGTCTGTTGGCGCCTCCGTACGGCAGCTTGTACGGCAACCCCGAACACCCTGGGTTCACATCAATCCTGACGCCGACATGGAGTTTTCAGGGCAACCGCTTCAGCTCGAGGGTTTCCCTAGCAGCGCTGCTGGGTGCAACGGCGGTAGCCGCTGTGGTGGCGGCAGCCGCGGCCGGAAGCGTGGACGGCTCTACCGAGGCCTGTACGACACGTCGGGCGATGGTGAGGACGATGCGGCGGAGGACGACGACGACGAGGAGGCGACCGGGGGCTCTGAGCTGCCGAGCAATGCCGTTCGGGAAGGAGCGCCGGGTAGCGCCGAGGAAGACGAGGGCGAGTACACCGACGGGAAGACCGTAGCAGACGCTGACGACGCGGGAGGCGAGGATGGGGATGAGGATGGCGAAGGCCACGGCCACGGCCCTGGGGAGCCACAGCCGGAGGAGTACATGCCAGGGTGTTCCCGTTGCCGCTTTGCCCTGGTGAGGCCGCCCTGGTAGTGGGAGTGGTGTGTGAAGGCTGGTGGGGGTGGGAAGACTGGCGGGGGCGAGGTCGAGGTCGAGGTCGGTCTGGTGCAAAACGGGGAGGGAGATGTCAGCCGGTGTAGCGGTGGTGTTAACGGTGGTGGAGGTCGAGGCCGAGGCTGCTGGAGCCGTGCGCGGAAAGGAGGAGATGGGGACTTCGCCGCAGACCGCTGGGGAGTGTAAGGGGGAGGAAAGCTGCTGTTGTGAAGCAGCCTCCTACCACCTACCACCACCTGAAATAACGTCCAGCACAGCTATACTACCAGTCACCGCAAGTCAAAGCGCATTGCGCATCCGAACAGCACAATACAGGTTTAAGAAAAGGGGTCAGTTTCACCGAAAGTTTTGCTGAACGCCTTTTCCTCCCCGCTTCGCCTCCGCAGAGTGGCTGCAGCACGTGTCGCGAACGGCCGCTGGTCTCCCGGGCCTACGCGCGCTGGCAACCGGATGCGGCGGCGCGTTTCCAGCAGGAGGTGGGTTGCGTGGGGCCCTCCCTTTCTGACGTCTTGGGGCCGCCTGAAGGGCGAGAGGGCGGATCATGAGGGATGGATGAGGAGGGGGGGGGTTGAGGGGGTGAGGGGGTCCACTCGGGAAGTTGGGTTGGAGCAGGAGGGTGAGATGTGCGGTGGGGAGGCCGACTATTACACACGGCATGACTGTGAACTCCTTGCCGGGCCGGGCCGGGCTAACATACATACATGCACATGCACATGCACACATCAGACCTGGAGAAGTTGTGCCATCTGCGACAGCTCCCTGGGGGCCGCCCCCCGGGTGAGATATCACACAACCCACAGCTGTGTGATGATGGGCGCATGTATGAAGGCAGCGCATGTAACGAGGCTCCTCCGCTCTCACCGCTTTCGTGCTGCCGTATCCTCCTCTCTACCTCCCTCCCTACCTGCCCCCTTACCTACCTCTCTACCTAACCCCCGACCCACCTACCTACCTACCTACGTCATACACGACCAGGGCGTTCCCAGCGCTCCGGTGTTCTACCCAACCCCAGAGGAGTTCGCGGACCCAGTGTCGTACATCGCAAAGATCAGGCCCGAGGCGGAGAAGTACGGCATCTGCCGTGTCGTGCCGCCGGCGTCGTGCTGGGACCCGCCCCCCGTCCTCCTGGGCTCCGGTTCTGGGTCTGGCAGCGGTGACGGCGATGGCGACGGCAGGTCCAGCACCAGCGGTTCCGGTGACGCCGGCGGCGGAGGCAACGGCAGCGGCAGCCTGGAGCCGTTCCGTTTCAAACCGCGGCGGCAGCTGATAAGCCACCTGTGCATGAGGCCCCACAGCGTTGAAGACGCGCAAGGCCAAGCTGAAGTGCCCAGCCTCAGGCAGGGACTCGCTCAGGAAGCTGAGGCCTGGCAGAAACAGCCGCAACAGCATTACCGCCCCCAGCAGCAGCAGCCGCAGCAGCCGCCAAGGCAGTGCCGGGCGTACGCCAGGCAGCAACAGCCGCAGCCAGTCTTTGGGGATGGTGGCCGCAGGGGCCTGATGTGCTCTGCCAATACGGAGTGCTTAACAGGGTCGGTGTGCTTAGGGGTGCTTAACGGCCCCTACGAGGATAACCAGCACCAGCACCCGGTGAATATGGGGTCGAACGAGCCATCCGCCGCGCACCGCGCACATCAGCTGCATGCGGGCCTAGGAGATCAACGAAAGCAGCGAACCGAGTACGAACGCGCTGACCAGCACAACACCTTGCAGCAGCAGGAGCAGCAGCAGCTGTTGCGAGGCAGCGATAAGGGCCAAGAGCAATACAGTCCACAGCAGCAGCACGAGCAGCAGCTCATGCAATACCAGCATTACCGCCCCCAGCAGCAGCAGTACCAGGATCAGCAGGGGCTGGGCCAAATCAAGCAGCAGCACCACCAGCAGCAAGCCCCAAGAGTAGCCGTGCCCCTGTCCGCAGCCGCGGCCTCCGACAGGGATCCAGCCTACTTGGGCGCCCGCAGGCTGTGCACCCCCACAACGCGCTGCCAAGCTGCACACGGGCTCCGCAGTCCCGCCCACATCACGTCCCACGGAGGTGTCCGGCTTGTGGCGCCCGGCGACATGCCGCATCCAAGGCCGCCGGGAGCGGCTGTGGAGTCCTCCCTGGAGCGGTACATCACCGGCTTGCGGGCTCATCCGCTACTGGGGCCGCCCCTGGACGAGACGGCGGCGGCCCTGGCGGCAGCGGCGGCGGCGGCGGCGGCTGGGATCACGGGTCATCGTCATCGGTGTTCAGGTGCCGTCAGACCTCCTGGTGGATTTAAGGCTGCCGGTGGAGAGATGGTGGCGGCGGCGGCGGCGGTGGGGCGGCGCGCGCGTCGCATCGCCGCTGCCGCGGGGGCAATTTCTAGTCGGGGAAGTGGCGGCAGCGAGGGTGGGGCGAGGTCCGGGGCCAGGTGCGACTCGGAGCCGAGCAGCGGCGACGGCGACCACGGCGGCGGCGGCGGCGGCAAGTGTGGGTTCGAGGTGTCGTTGCCGCGAATGCATACGTTGCGGTCGTTCCAGGCGTATTGTCTGTGGGCTCGGAGCCTGCACTTTGGGCTGCCGCCGTTCGGCGACATGCACATGGACAAGACTAACGACATAGGGAGGTCGGTGGCGGGTGCGGATATGGGCCCCTGGGTTGGTACGGCATTGTACGGCAATCGCAACACAATGTATTTATGAAATAGAGCTCGAAGGGTAGAGTAGGAATCCTGGCTTGTTATTAGAAATGTGTCAAAATTTGATGTTTGGAATACTTCGCGAGCTGTTCCGTGGTGAGGCACTATCTCGTAATGGCCCACGATTCCGTAATGATACGCATTGATGCGGGTCCAGCAGACCAGACGTCCTGACCGGCTGGCTTGCGCTCTTGCCTTCTTGCCTTCTTGCGCATGTGGTGCTGCTTGTCGCCTTCGTTCAGGGCCAAATCTTCTTCCCCGGAGTCGGATTCCGTTCCCGAGGTCGCCGGCAACGGTAAGCCTGCCGGCGCCCGCGGCGCCACCGGCCCCGCGCCCGCTGCCGCTGGCTGTGAACCGTCCTTGGAGGAAGTGGAGGCGGAGTTTTGGCGCATCGTGGAGCGGCCCACGGCAGACATGGTCGTAGAGACGCTGTACGGCAGTGAATTGGATTTAGTACGGCACGGCAGCGGGTTTCCGCTGCTCATCACCGACCTGCGTGTGAGATCGAGCTCGGCAGCGGCCGCCACCGCCGTCGCAGCGGCGGCGCCGCCGCCGCCGCCGTTGGACGAGCGCACGCAGCGCTACACGCGCCATCCCTGGAACGTTAGCAACCTGTCTCGCGCCCCGGGGTCAATGCTGCGATACCTGGAGACAGATCCGTGTACAACAGGTAGTTGTGACGGGTCGTTAGGGAGTTGTGAAGAAGTTGTGAAGAAGTTAAATGTTTTAAACTGTAACCCGGGTGGTATCCCCCTGAAAGGAACTGGAGGCTTGGTGCTAGTTACAAGCTACAGTGCACGGGCGGTATTAAGGGTTGTTCAGTGTACGGCTGGGTTGTTCAGTGTACGGCTGGTATTTCCAACCATCCCGTCCCATCCTGGAGCGAACTACGTGCTTTCCCCGGCCATTTGATGCTTTGATTCCCCTTTTTCCTTACCCGCATCCTGACAATTCATGCTGTGATTGCGGTTGAAGTTAGTTTGTCATTTTATTTTATTATGATTAATAGTTTTTTGTTAGTCCTTGGAATTTTTAATGACTGAGATGACAGATACTGCTGTTAGTTTTAATTGATGCTATTTCTTGGTTCTTGAGAATATAATTATTGCTACTTTTGCCATGTCTTTTGTGCCTGCTTTTGCCTTTTGTGCCCCAATACAAGCCCCTTTCTGTGTATTTTTTTCTGGCTTGGTCTTTTATGTTTAGCCACCTCCATCCTGATTTCCCTCGTGCAGGCCCCACAGCTTTAAGGTTGGATTTGGGCAGCTGTCTGAGCGCCTTCTGCTGGCGCGTGGAGGATCATGCGCTGTATTCGGTCACCTACCTTCACACTGCAGCACCAAAGGTAGGTGAAGATGAAGGGCTGCGTCCCCCCCGCGCCATGATGCCGGCGGGGACATGTGTGTCGCGCTCCCTGGGAGCTCCTCGCGCCGGTGTGACTTGTACCTAGTCGCGCTCACCGGGCAACCCTCCGCCCCTGGCGCTATTGCTCCTGCTCCTGCTGCTGCTGCTGCTGCCATTGGTGATGTGCTACGTCTGCTGCTATTGGTGCTACTGTTGTTGTTGTTGTTGCTGCTGCTGCTATTCATATTGCTGGTAGTGCAGCTACTACTTTTTGCTGTTGTTGCTGCTGCTGCTGTCGTTTTTTGCCGCTGTTCGCGCAGGTCTGGTACGGCGTACCTGCGCATGCCGCGGAGCAGTTTGAGGCGGCCATGCAAGACGCGGTACCGCACCTCTTTGCCGAGGAGCCTCTGCTGTTGCACCATCCGGTGACGCTGCTGTCGCCGGGGGAGCTGCGTCGGCGGGGGGTTCCAGTGTACAGGTTTGTGTGTGTGTATCTGTATGTGTGTACGACCGTGCCGTACCTGCGCGTCGTATACCTTTGCGCGTCCAGTCGCTTATGTTGATTGCGTGCTATGTTGTGTTGTGTTGTGTTGTGTTGTGTTGTGTTGTGTTGTGTTGTGTGAACTGTAATGCGGTATTTGAACCCGGCGTCTCGGGGGGCTACAACAGCTCCGGCCCGACAAGGTCAAGTAAAAAACCTGTCGGGCCGCCCGTGCAGTTCAGTTTCGCCACCTGGCAGCTCTACCCTCCCAGCCAGCCAGCCACTCACCCTTCATCTTCCTGTCTTTTGCAGTACTTTTGAGACCATTTATGGTCATATTTGGTCGTGCATATAATGAAATCACAGGAAATTTTTGTTTCGGCGGTAACGGGTGCCGGAACACCGCGGGTATAGGAATATAATGACTGTGTGTGTGAATGTGGTTGGATTGTGTTTATTCAGTCCACGGTGGTGCAATATGTGAAATCTCATATAGTGATTTGTGGTGTCGTACGGTGGACTGTGGCTTGCAGGCTCGTCCAAGAGCCCGGCAGCTTTATCATCACCTTCCCCAACGCCTACCACGCGGGGTTCAACGCCGGTTTCAACTGCGCTGAAGCTGTCAACTTTGCGCCGGCTGATTGGCTGCCGTACGGCAGTGCTGCCGTACGAGAATACCGCCAACAGGGCAGGCGGAGCACCTTCAGCTTTGACGACCTGCTGGTTCGAATCGTCACTGCCGCGCCTGCCGTATGTGCGGCACTGCGTGTGGCAGCGTTGCCGCATGTATTGCGACCATCGCCTCCTCCTTCTCCCCCTTCTCCTCTTTCTCCCCCTTCTCCTCCATCTCCTCCTTCTCCCCCTTCTCCTCTTTCCTTGGCAGCAGCTTCACTCGCTCGTGCTTCGTCTTTTCCTCCTTCTCCCCTTTCTCCCTCTCCTGAGAGCGACCAGGTGCCCCCACTTCCGCTGCCGCCGCCGCTGCAGCAGCAGCGAACGGAGGGGCAGCAGCAACAGCAGCAGGCTTCACGCGTCGTGCACGTGAAAACGGAGCCTGGCGAAGAACCCAAGTCGTTTGAACTCAAATGGCAAAGCGACGGCGTCCTACCAGATGTGAAACCAAATCCTGCAACTGTCGCCGCCGCCTGCTGCGAGGCCGCAGCGGCGGCGGCGGCGGCCGTCACCGCCACCGCCGTATCCGCCTCCGGCGGCGACAGCGCCACTACCGGCGACGGCTCCCTCCATTCGCCACGGCTGGCGGAGGTGCCACCCGAGGCCGTGTGTACGGCAGTGGGTGAGCTGGCGCTACGAGTGGAGGAGGAGGCTCGACGGCGAGCTATAGCTCGGGAGTTCGGGGTGGCGCAGGTATGTAACGAGATGTAAAAGAGGACGTACGGCAGTACGGTAGTACGGAATCTTATTGCCTTGACCCAATCTTGGCCTTAAATAGCACACGTGCATTTTACACGCCTTGTGTGTATTCCCCCGCGGCTATTTACCCGCGGCTGTTCCCACGCCTCGCTACACCTTGCTGCACACGACAACACAACACGACACGGCATGGCATGGCATGACACGAACCCGCCCCAGGAGCAACCCATGTCCGGCAGCACCGGCGCAGAGGACCGTACCGGTGTGTGCATTTCCAGTACCGGGGCCTACACGCACTGCGCGGTGTGCAAGTGCGACCTGTTCCTCTCGGCTGTCGTCAGTCCGCGGCAGGCCCCCGCCACGGCCGCCTGTCCGGAACACGCAGCCGGTCTGGGTGTGCCGCCCGAGGCCTGCGTGCTCCTCGTCAGGTGGGCCTCTGCCTGGGAAAGGGGAAGGGGAGAGGGGGGGAGAGGGGGACGGTGGGGAAAGGGGGGAGGGAGCTCTTGGCCTGAGCGCTGCCCCTGCCTGGCGACACGTCTTTCTCGTTCTTCCGCTTCTGCTTTGCCGCTTTCCTTCGCATCGCACCTGCTGTAAGGCGGCTGTGGCATAACGCTGTATATGCAGCGCCGCTCCTAGCACCCATCTCACCCATGTTGCGATGTACTTTTTGCTGAGCGGCGAAATCGCTGTGGCAACCTTCAATTGTTTTGGAAGTACGACAGTACGACAGGGGATGCGTTGGCCTCACTGGACTGGCCAGCAACGTGTCGTGCAGCCATGAACTGAACAGCTCAAGAGTATGACAAGTAATATATCTTCTCGATGACAATGGTGGCTGAAGAGTATTTTTGTAATTCTTTGTTAGAAACCTGGTAGTGCAGGTTGGGATGACACGGAGAACCTTGTAGGTCAATTTTGTAGTGTCGGTTGCGGTGCCGTACGGATCAGTTCGGCATGTAAGGTGCCTGGTGTACTGCAGGCATGACAAATATCTGATACCGTCCAGCATGTGGCATGTCAGACGGTTTGCGTCTGGGCAGAGTCTTTGAGAGTTCGCACGCCGGTTTGTTTGTCTGTCTGTCCATCTGTGCGTCCCATCAGGCACTCCTTGGACGAGCTTCGTGCCCTGATAGGCACCGCCTTGAAGCTGTTTCCTCAGGGTCATGCCGCCATCGCCGAGGCACGTGCGCGCCTCGCGTCTCGGCCACAAACAACTATTCGCCGATTGGGCCCTATCTCCAAGTACGGCGTGCCGTACGCAGCTCCGCTGAGTGACCAGGACGCCCGCGACTCGGTATCGGAGGCTGTCTGTGCCGTGGCGGGGCCGCTAACACACGAGCCGTACGTGCCGTACGACCCCGAGGCGGCGGCGGGTAGCTACGCTGCCGCCAACGTCACGCCAGTGCCGAGGGATCTTAAACTAGTCGCTGACGGATGCGCGGCCGCCGCGCCAACGGCGGCCGCGTGCATAGCGGCGGTCAAAGCTGAGCCTGTTGCCGACGCTGCGACGGCGACGGCAGCGGCGGCAGCGGGCACCGCGCCGCCGTCGGCTACGGTAGGTCCTTCGGTGGTGGCGGCAGCGGCAGGCGCGGCCGCGGGTGCCGAGCGCGAGCGTCTGGGCCCTAGGCAAGTGACCCTCCTTGAAGAGCAACAGGCGGAGGCTCTGCGCCGTGAAGAGCAGCGGCGGGCGCAGGAGAGCATGCGGCGCGCGCGAGCGCAGCGGGCGGCACGGAGGAGCACGGGTGCTGGCAGCGGTGGCGGTGGCGGTGGCGCACCCGCACAGCAGCCATTGCCGGTGCCGGCGCGGTCCGCTGGGACGCCCCCGCCTGCCCAGCTGCAGCCTCCGCTGCGCGTGCCGGCAGTAGCGGTTATTCCGCCTGGTGCCAATGTGCCGCCGCCGCCACCTGTGGTGACGTCATCCATGCATGCGCCGGAAGTCGCGCTTCTGTCCAGCTGGCCCCTGGCCGTTCCATCGCCGCTCACCAATTGTCCTGCAGCTACGGAGCACGATGCTGGGCCAGTAGCGAGCTCCCCTGAAGGTTTGGGCGTCGCCCAACCTGAAGCGGTGGCGGCGGCGATGGTGGCGGTGACGGAGGCGGCGGCT